AGCACATGTGTCCGAGCTTAGTCGTCGGTGTACTGGCTTGTTGATCGGACTGTCTCACGCACGAAATTGTCTCCCTGACGGTGTCATTAAAATTCTCGTTACATCTCTGGTCATATCACGAATCAACTACTGCCTCACTGTGTACGGTAACGGGACTCAGAAAAATTTTGACCGACTCCAGAAAATTTTGAACTTTGCCGCTAGAGTGATCTTCGGACGGCGTAAGTTTGACCACGTCTCGGACCTGCGCGACAGACTTGGCTGGCTATCACCAAAATCCATGTCAGATTACCTGACACTCACGATCGCGCAAAAGGTCATTAACCCTCGCCCGCACATGCCATTTTCCCATCCTAGAACGCACATGGGGGGGGGGGTGGTTGCCACCCCCCCCCCCCCGCGCCATTTCGTTCCTGTTGGAGATAGAGCTTAGCGGTAAAGACCAAAAAGATTCTTTGGGAAGAGACGAATCCAATGATACCCAGTTTTAACTTCTCAGGTCAGTCATTGACCTTCCAGGTCAGGTCAAACTAAAAAATGTTGCTGTTTTGGGTCACCGTTGGATATCAAGTGTGCTGCTTATCAAATACCGATGACGATGCTGTTGTCTGGTGCCAAGCCAGCTAGAACCTCTTTGTCACACTACCCGACCAGAATTTTGCTGCTGAGGTCATTTCAGGTCAAGTTAGGTCAAGGTCAATTATATGTGTTTGTATGTCTGTGTGTGTCTGTGTGTATACTGATGTGTGCACCGATTGTTTTTGGGTCCATATTACATGAAATCATGATCTGAGAAGCTTTTACCAAAAATGCAGTCAAAAAACTTCAAAAAAAGTAAATTCAGCTTGCCTAAAACGCAATTATCTTAGATGACCTAGGTTGACCTTGACCCTGACCTTGACCCCTGTACATCGTCGAACAACATGTTCCATGATAGGTGGGAGGTAAGACTGGCAAAAAAGGCCGAAATCAGGGTGTCAAAAGCTCATAAGGCCCATGGCAAACGCAATATGTTGAGAATTGGCCATTTGGGTCATGACATGACCTGACAAACAAGGTCATATCTCCGAAACCAAAAATCACAGAAACTTGAAATTTTCAGTGGACATCAAGAAAGGATAGAGGAGCAGCTATACGAAAAATCAGCCTTCTAGCTCTAAAAATGTTGAGTGCAGAGCAGAAAGACTACCTGGGGGGGGGGGTGGCAACCACCCCCCCCCCCATGTGCGGGCGAGGGTTAAGCATGAAGAGCCCGAGAACCTCGCTGCGCTGTTCGTCCCCAACCAAAATTTTCGAGACAGGCACACACGGCAGGATCATCTACTTCATCTTCCCCGACCGAGGCTTGAAACCGGAAAACGGCGTTTTGAGTACCGCGCCGCGGCGCTATTGAATAGCCTCCCACCCCAGGTAGTGCAGCTGCCACCTGCCAGCTTCGCCCGGTCTGCCAGGGCCGCGCTGATTAACAAATCCCCGCTACGCCGCTGACGAGTCTGTTTAGTAGTAGGCAAGGCATGCCGCCAATTGGTGGACGATCTGTTTGTGCTTATGTATATATATATATATATATATATATATATATATATATATATATATATATATATATATATATATATATATATATATATATATATATATATATATATATATATATATATATATATATATATATATATATATATATATATATATATATATATATATATATATATATATATATATATTGTTTGTCTTATGTACATATGTAGACGATTATTGTCGCGACCCCCATCGATGGATGACTGTCGTCTAGTGCTGAGTGTTCTTCCCCTGCCCGCATGATTGTTACCCATTATACTCGGATCTAAGCCGTAATCGCCACGCCATATGAGGAAGGCTTTTGGTGTCAATACATACATACATACATACATACCCACCGCCAATGCTATATGTCATCACGATGCATGAAGCACCCCTTACAGGCTCCTCAGCGCGTACAACATGAACAGACTCCTCACCACTGTACCCCTGATCGACTCATCAGCACCCCTGGCTGACTGCTAAGCACCCCTCAGCACCCATCAACACCCCTCAGCACCCCCCCCCCCTGAATGACCTCTCGGAGCCTCTCAGCACCCCTCAACACACCTATGCACCCCTATGCACCCCTCTCTGACCCCTCAGCGTCCCTTAGCACCGCTGACTGACCATGACGTCGAACTGGACGGCAGCGAGGGCGGCGGCCGACACGTTTGCCGGCAGCTCCCAGTCCCCGTCACCCAGGATGTTGCCACCAGTGACCAGGGTGAGCTCCTCGGGGAACGTGGACAGCTGGCCGACCAGCCTGCCAGCCATGCCGACGGGACATCAGAGGAGGAAGGGGGACACGGGCTCAGTTAGACAGGCTTTGAAGTGAGTGGCTCGCAGCCAAAACACTTCTTCGTCCTTGAAGTTTCATGCTGATTAAAGAGTAAAGTTACTTAAAAAGCATGGAAGTTTTTCTGGTACATACTACCGGTATTTTGAGCATGCGAAAGCTGATAAAGGTTATGGGTATTACGCAACAACTACCGTTCGATATTTTCCGAACTTGTGTAAAGATGTTACAATGTTACATACCGGGGCACGCCGCCGACCCCACAGTCGCCCCAGGGCAGCCACTGTTCCACGATCTCCTCCTCCATGGTCAGCAATCCGTCCTCCTCCCCCTCCAGCTGCATCGTCAGTGGAAACGGGGCCCTCCTCGAGGCAGACTTCAGAGGACAGTCGTACAGCGACTCGTTGTACGGCACGTAGTGGCCGAACAGGTCGCTGCTGTAGATGAGCAGTTTCGCCGACTGACATCTAGCGGAGACCGCCAGAAGCACGAGTGCAGCCAAGCACCGCATCATTATCTGTATCATTATCTGAAATATTATAGTATCTATGAGATAATAGATAGGCACTTAAATATTTTAATTAGAAGATGAATCGCTAAATTGGATCTCAGTGCTACCGTTTGCCTCTCGCCGTACAGATCGGTTCTATGTAGAAACCTGACTCCACCGATAAGGGGAGGGGGCATTTCACTTTCACAGTCAATTGAGCTAGGACTTTGCGGAATATTCGGTACGAGCTATGCCATTGTAATGCACAGAGAATGTTCCGATTTTTTTTTTGTATTGGGTTAACTTGTGGAGTTAGAAATGGCCACAAAGTAATTATTTGACCGTCATAATTTTTCGTTCAACCGCAACCAGACATTTTTTGCTTTGTACAGGCTAAATGGGATGTTGACTTCAGGTCAAGGGCAGAGCAAGCTCTATTCTTTTTCTTCGCGAAGTTTTATTGCTAAATTAGCGGCGAAACGGACAACGGTGAGGAAGGTCGTATCCTCTTTCAGAATATGCATTTCAGCTATGTAGAGCAGATAGAAAACCAGAATGATATAAACAGTATCCAGATAAAGTGCAAATTTGTATAGATCTATTTACTTTTAGCTGACTCACAGCAGTGTCGCCTAGCATGACTCAGTTTTCGCACTTGCTTGCCTCGCAGTTCGCACTTGTTTAGTGTTTACCTGTTTTTCTCGTGGGATGATGCTCACCAGTTCCGCCGTGTGACTCACTGCTCACACCTGTATCCCGTGTTGCGATGTTCACCTGTGTCACTCCTTGGTCACATGTCCCGGTCACATCACATGCCCCACTGCTGGCTGGTCCTGCACAATCTCGCTCCACTATCGGGCCGCGGTGCTATCGCCCCGGCACGGTACACACAATGTGCCACATATCGACTATTCACGGCAAGTGACCGCTCGGTACCTACGGCACGCTGTTATCGGCCGCGAGAGGGGCGCCTCTCGCGCGGCCGATAACAGCGCCAGAGTGCAGTGAAATGAAAAAAACGACCCAATGATCGATGGAGCGGAAGCAATTTTGACAAGGTAGTTTTTATACAACCGAGTGTGGTATGCACTCATGATATTAGGACGTATATATGTTGTCCGTATATTATTCAAATTCGACTAGAAAGTGATTTTCTTATCTGAAAATCTAGGGAAGCCATTATGTTCTTACGCTTCATACATGTGCGTTGTATTTATGACGCATTTCAGTATAAGCTAGGAGAAAGTCCGAAGACTTTTGCTTCTCATTTAGTGCGAATATGCGAACATAAAATATGAACGTAACTGCGATTTTATGTGTTGCATCGGACCGCCCGGAATCGCTTTTCAGGTCTTCAGGGCGCCGTAGTCTTTTCTGATAATAAGAAAATCTGTCCCACCCAGGATTACCTACCCTAAATAAGTACCGATACAGGCTGCATCAGACATCATACCTATAACAATGGAACCGGATGGCAGTGCGCTTTTGAGTGTCAGCTGTTTTTCGAAACAGATAGGTATTCTTCGGTTTTTGCACGGTTTTTCCATTTTTAGAACGGCAACCATTTGGTACTGGGTAAACGATTATTTTGCAGGGTTTTATGCGACGAAATATATTCGTATAGTGCACGTCTGGCATTTATTACAACACGGCCATTGAAGATATGAGGTACCTACTAGGATTGCCGGAAACACTTCATCTATACCGGTTGTGCAATCATCTCAGTTGCTACACTGTCTCTTAAGTAACGCGTCTATGTATGCACGGCGTTTCACTTGATCATCGAGAGGACGGACCGACAGAAAATGCTTTCGTATCGCGATTGCCTTGATATAACCGACGACGGATAGGCTCTGTGATGTTGTTGTTTTCTGACGGACTCCAATGCCAATAAGTGTCATTTCATGACATATATCGGTACACATGACTTCTAAAGAGTCTCACACCTTCATAAACAAACCATTTCGGTATCGAGAAGAAAAGCAAACTTGGCTGTTTACGCTCCAGGGTCCTGGCACGTATCAAATGGTCTCTGGCCGCGCGGGTGTGTCCGTGTGTGAGACTGATTGGTGGACGGTCAGACGGGGGAGGGGGGGGGGGGACTTCTGCGGGTAAACCAATGCGAGATGGTCGGTTAGTATTTGGAAGATCGCTCCTGCGGCCGGTCGTGCTGTCGTCAGTCGCAAGTGGTCAGTCGATCGGACTGCAGTCTTGGCTGAGGGGTGAATTCGGCATTGTTCCTAACACGGCAACATGGAGGCAGGTGGCGAATCCAGCACACCCCAAGGTGAGGAACGAGACGCTGTGGAGTGGTTTTCAGAAAGAAGCACTAAAACGCTGGCACGTCTAAAACGCATAATTAATGTTCCCTGAATCTAGGATATGACATCAAATATGTGCACAGACGATAAACTCATTGGATCTGTTCCAGTCGCACTTCCTAACACCTCTTAACTCCTCCAAGATTGCTTCCCTGTTCCAGCGACAGCTCTATACTACAAAGCCATAGGAGGGCCATGCTCCAACCTCCTCTGTCTTGCTCTTGGAGGAGTTTAGAGGTGTTAGGAAGTGCGACTGGAACAGACCCATTGTGTCAGATTGGCTTGGATCAGACAATTTGGTTAGCAGCTTGAGCCGTGACTTATTTTGTTCCATATAGACGTTCAATAGTGTGGTGTCTTAACCCTCGCCCATATTGGTGTTTTTCCAGCCGCGAACGTATAAGGGGGGGGGGGGGTCCGTTGGACCCCCCTCTTGCCGTTTCGCCCTGATCGAGCTAGAGCTTCGCGGAAAAACGAGCGTGTTGCCCGTGATGAGAGGAAGCCGATGAAAACCCAATTTTAAGGTCCTAGGTCCTTGGTTGACCTTCCAGGTCAGGTCAATGACCCAAAAGTCGGGAAAATCGGGACCTTTTAGAACTTCGTAAAGTGTGGTTGCTATGTTTTTTTCCGGGGTGCTGATTACGAATATCATGTTAGTTTTGATCACAGATGATGTCTTCATGCATTTAGTTCAGGTCGGGTCAGGTCAGGTCAGGTCAACCAGAAGGGGTCCTGTCGGGTATTCGTAGGTGGTAGGTGTCAACCGCCTCTGACAGCTTCCTAACATGTTACGAAGGCACCAAAACTACTTCGTAAATGTTCATATGGTTGCTAAATTCGAATTCAGCTCCAAAAACTGGCCTAGCAGCAGGTAAAACTCGAAAAAGTGAACCGAGGTCTTCAAAGATCATTGACCTGACCTTACCTTCAGGTGACCTTGACACCCACCCTAATGCATGAGGGCAACATCATATCACATTTTTGAACGCTTGAAACCACGAAAAGACTGCAAACGCGCGGCTAATGCGAGCCGACATACGCCGAATCGCGATTTCGGCCAAACATGGTCTCGAAAAGTAGGTCACAGGTCAAAGGTCATTTGGGTCAGGGTCATGAAATTTTCAGGGTAGGTAGGTGTAAAATTTATCGACTCCACACTACTGAAAGTCTCGTCGCAATCAGCCGTTATTTACGCGAGTTATTCACGAAAAAACCGAGATGGGTCGGTTCTCCCCCCCCCCCACACACACACCTATGCGGGCGATGGTTAATTGCAGGTATTAATATGTAAATGCGAGAGAAAATAAGCGTTAAGCACTTGGTCCAAACGTCATATTGCTGATACAGTTCGGAGTCTCCATCGACACCATACCTACTCGTAGGCATTTTTGCACAATTACAACTTAACCATTGAGCATACAGATTATAGGATTTACACGGAACGATTCGTTATACAGCCTCCCGCCTCTCCGTTTGCCCTTCGACTGCAATTGATAAGTGTGCATGCTGTGCAATGTGTGCATGTTCACACGGGCCTATACCAACTATACAAGCATACAGCCCAGACGGCCTAGGGTGGAGTGCCTATACGAAGGTCACCTCCCGGCTCTCATGTTGCAGAAGATAAGCGTCTGTTCACACCGGGCCCGCTGAACACGCGGCTGGAGGTGCGACAGGCCATGCTGCGCGACCTGGGTTCGCGGGACGCTACCTTTATATCGACAGTCAAAGACATCCGACGGGGCCTCCTGGAGCTGGCAGGTCAGTCGGGGGACATGGTCACTCTTCAACACGTGAAACTAAGTGTCTTGTTCTGCTGAGCGTAATGTGCTACCGTTCTTAGCTCGGGTACCTACGGGTGGTAATTTGCATACCAGTCGTTGTAAATATGATCCCCAACGCGTAATGGGCTCCTCTTCAGCATGCCAGCCATGTGGTGTCGGAGCGTCGCAGATCTGCTCTTCGTCTCAGTCAGAGTTATTTATTAATACTGTCCGTGTGTCATCAGTCATACGCCTAATGAGATACTGTTTCCAAGGGTCATTTACCATGCGTAGTAAAAGAAAAGAAATTTCGCGCACACGAGTGCGAACTAACCGCGCTAGAGCAATGCATGAATTCATCCCGCGCCGGGCCGGCGCGGGTTGTTTGAACACCCCCTCCCCCTGCGGTTTTTCGCAGATATCTCAAAAAACGGCGGCGCGAAGCGCCGCCGTTTTGGGCAAACCTGTTTTTGCATCTTTTCCGCACATGTGAAAATTTTAGACCCAGGTCGCCTTAGGTCAGGTCACCAGACCAGGTCACGCCAAATGACCTCACCTCAGAAAAATAAGAATGCTCGTCATAGCTACACCGCCTAAACGATTGCCTTGAAACTTTCAGCGATTGATTAGGGCAACATTATCTATAAAATGTATTTCTCAGAATTTTGATATCGGTGACCTAAGGTCAGGTCAGTTTTGCGGCTTCTCCATTGTAAGTCAATGGGAGAAAATTGAAAAGTGTCTGTTTTGCACGAACGCTATTCTAGACACTCTTAACCCTCGCCGGACCTATTGGTTTTCTACATACGCGCCGGCCGAGGGGGGGGGGGGGGGGCGGGTACGACCCCCCTCGCCGTTTCGCCCCTGGTGGAGCTAGCGCGTCGCGGAAAAAGCGAGCGTGTGCGCCGTTACGAGACGCAGAGATGGGTACCCGATTTTAAGGTCCTAGGTCAACCGGTGACCTCTGAGGTCAGGTCAAGTGCCCCAAGGTACGGTTCAGTTTTTGTTGAATAACTTCGCCTAAAAAAAGGCCGCAGAGCCGCGGTTTTGGCTGCATCGTGTTCGCCTCGCTCAGGCGCGTCGAATGATATACTTTTTGTTCGGGTCAGGTCAATTTGGGGTGTTGACCTCAGGTCAAGGTCAGGTCAGCACCCCCAGGTCACGAAGTTGGTCGAAAGAGGTCATGTTGCATATCATTCGATTCGGCAGGTCTTCCTGAGTCCATTGGTGGCTTCCGCGACTCGCTAGCTGAATTTGATCAAGAGTTATTGACGAAAAACTAGTTTGACCTTGATGACGTCATAAATGACGTCACGCAAGGTCAACATTGCAAAAGTGACGCATCTAACCTTGCAAGGAGTGCATCAAATCACGATTCTGTGTGCTTGAGATAGTTGGAGATCGTTCCCGGCGCCAGAATAGCAGTTTTCATTTTTCCCCATTGACTTATAATGGTGAGGTCACGAAAATGACATGACCTCATATGACCTTTAGGAAAAATCCGAGATATACAAATTGTGAGACTCATAATGGATACTAGATCCTGCAAGTTTCATTTCCCTGTGACATCTCCTCTGGCAGTGAGGGCGTTGCGAAGTTGCGACATCTGAAGACCGTGCAGAGGTTCACTTATGACGTCATAGGTCAGTGACCTGACCTGACCCAAAAATGCGGTTGGTGTCAAAAGATCCGGCTTGAATCAAAGATCAGGTTTGCCAAGTTTCAGCTCTCTATCGCCAGCGTGTTCGGAGCTATCGCGAAAAAACCCTATGGGGGGGGCGGCACCCGCCCCCCCCCCCCTCGGCCGGCGAGGGTTAACCCGCGCCCCACTGGGGGGGGGGCTTTCATAGCCCCCTCCCGTTTTTCTGCAGTAACTTCCAAACCACTTGACGTATCGACGCAAAACTTTCAGTAGCTTCACCTGCATCAATTTGACACCTTGTGTTAAAATTTGAACTTCGTAGCTACCATAGGTCGACCGGAAATAACGTCAGAGTGACGTCATGTTCGGCCGATTTCGACGCAAAACATTGAACCACGGCAATCGCTCCCAAGAGCTTAGTTTTTAAGCTAGATCCAATTTCTTTGCATGAAAGGACTCAAAATTGACTGCGCTATCAACTGCTTTCTCGGATTCTCAAAATTTGAAAATTTTGAAAAAAATTATAATAATATTCAAAATTTATATTTTTATATTTTTCAAAAAGTTTTTGACTTTTCGAAAACAACGGAATATATGCGACAGAATACATACTTATGACTAACTCTAGCAAGTTTTAGCTAAATATCTTAAAAAATGGCCAAGGTATACGCGTTATTGCAAAAAATTCACGATTATTAATTTTTCAAATCAATTTTTCAGTACGTTTTTGACATTGTACACCAATATAAATAGCACCATCGTGTTGCTGAACTCAAACTGCATCCAACAGACACCTTTTTTGTTGAAAAATTTTAACTTCAAAATTTGACCTTTTTTACCTGAAAGTGACCTGACCTAGGCTAAATTCGACTCAAAATGACCTCGAATGACTCAGACGACATCAAATTCGAAATCTGTGGCCTAAATGGACCATACAACATGTGTCACGTGACCGACGTATGATATAATATTTCCGTGACCTGTGATGACCTGACCCTGACCTGAAAATCAAAGTATAAGTTTGGTACCCTCCAGGTATCTAGAGCATCTGTTCACGAGTGTGTAAACCAAAAGTGAGCCTGATCTGACTTGTAAGACGGCGGCCAGAGCCCAAAATGTGAACAAGCCGAAATGCTAATAATTTTTACTTTGACCTGACCTGTGACGTCATCGGTGACCTCGAGATCAATGAAATTAGGTTTCGCTCGACAGTTTTTCCGGGGCTATCAGACGCCGTTTGAATTTTGACGATCGGCCCAGTAGTTTCGGCGTTAGGAGGGGGGGGGGGGCTATGGAGAGTCCCCCCCCCCCCCAGTAGGGCGTGTTATACGCAGACCCCAGTGGGGCGCGGGTTAAACATCGAGATGTCGGTAACATTGACACACTGAACCAGAAAATGGCAACTCTGACCCATCGTTATGTCCCCGAGGTCATCTCAGGTCACGAACAGAATCTAACAGTTTTTTCGCTAATAACTTCTGATAGAGGTGTGCTAGAGCGATGAAAACGCCATAGATGTGTTCGGCTCGACGTTGCGTATCGACTGATATGCAGATGACCTTTTCCGGTCAGGTCATGACCTTGACCTGAGGCACAATTATACTTCATTCGACGCGTCTCGACGAGAGGAACACGATGCTGGTGTAAGACACCTCAGTCTTCAGATACAGCCTCCGGTCTTACTGCATGTCTCTGTATTCCTGTGTTCTCAGCTTGACCGAACACACAACACACAACCAGCCGCGCCTCCGGCCGCGCTCCTCACACACACCCTCTGCCCAGCGCTCTGCTCTGCTCTGCTCGCGCGCCGACGCGCGACCGCTTCCCGCCACAGCCGGGAACACGATTTAGCCGTGCATCCTTCACGGCTCTCGGCCACTAAATAATATTATACCTACTTACACTCCTCCCCTCCTATTGAACAATATGCCAACGACAGTCACAACAAACGCTTAATCAAAAGACCAGTGAGCAGGGTCGAACCGTTTCGGGGGGCGTACCTCACGCCCGAAACGGGTGACAGTTCGCGGCCGCTGATCCACATCCCGCGGCGGCTCGGCATCGAACGGCGGCGGCGGGGACGGCGGCGGAACATGTGGTACCTCCGGCCGGTGCGGCACAGCGTCATGAAGCGGTACAGGGTCAGGTGGCGGCACACAGTCAGGTCGCATCTCGGGCAGACGCGGCATCGGCACGTGCGGCAAAACAACAGGTTGCGGTACATAGCGGCCAGCTGTGACACCTTGGGGCGGAAATACAATTGGCGCCCCACCCATACCAGGCACACTATGGGGCCGGGCAATGGGCGTTCCCGGCACATCTCGCCAGAGAGACAACCCATGCGCTCTTGTCGCGGTCCTGTGCCCCTCACTCACAGCCGGCGGGCGCTCCACTGTGTTGTCCGGCTTCAAGCGGTTGTGCACCACCAGACTGCGCCGCTTTCCCTCCTCGCGCACTCGATAGTTCACTGGTCCACATTGTTCTATGATCTCAGCCGCACGCCAAGGCCTCACAAACTTATGATATTCACCGCGCTTCGGTACATTGCGAAACAAGAACACTTTGTCACCCGGGCGATACGACCACTCGTTCATTCTGCGCTCATACAAAGCTTTGTTGCGGTCATGGGACAGCTGATCGCGCTTAATCACATCCTTAAAAGTAAGTCGGAGTGTCTCTCTCAAATCGTCTATGTACTGGGGGAAGGTTGGGGCCCGATCCACAACCGGCCGATCACCCAGCGAGGCTTCCGCCGGCAGGCGGGGCTCTCGCCCAAACATCAAGGCGAACGGAGAGTATCCCGTGCTGTCGTGCACCTGACTCCGGTAGGCGAGCATGAGCATCGGAAGATGCTTATCCCACTCCGTGTGCTGCTCAACAAACTTAGCCAGCATGTTCAAAATGGTGCGATTGGCTCGCTCAGTCATCCCGTTGCCCATAGGGTGATAACTGGATGTCTGAGACTGCTGAATGCCGATCAGTTCGCTCACAGCTTTCATCACCGCACCGACAAAGTTCCGACCTTGGTCCGAGTGCACACGTTTCATGACGCCAAAACGAGAAATAAACTCATTTACAAGAACATTCGCAATCGTAGTAGCCTTTTCATCCGCGAGGGGATACGCTTCAACCCAGCGTGTGAAGTGATCAGTGATCACTAGCAGGTGTTTGTAGCCTCGAGCGGTTTCCGGCAGGTTGGTCACAAGGTCCATGGACACCAGCTCCATCGGCTCGGACGCAGACAACTGCCCCATACTCGCACATGGGCGGGGAGTCGGAGAGTTTCGCGAGGCACAGCGGCGGCACTGTTCGCAAAACTCAGTCACCGTACGCTCCAGGAGCGGCCACCAAAACCT